CCACAGCACCACTTCCGGCTTTTTTTTTTGTTTATGTGGTGCTAAGGAAAGGAACCCAGGGCCTTAGGCATGCAAGGCAAGCGCTCTACCACTGAGCCACCTTCCCAGCCCCGAAAGTCAGACTCTTATCTCCAATTAACCACCAGAAAACTTCTAGTAGTGCTGTAGCTCAAGTGATGAGTGTTCTCCTTGAGCTGAGGGACAGCACCCAGACCCAGAGTTCAAGCCACGTCACACACACACACAATACACACACTCAGTTAATAGACATGTATTAGAGATATCTTCTTACAAGGAGTTCATTAGATGCCAGAGTCACAAAGATGAAAAATTTTCATACTTGCTTTTGAGAAGCTAAGCGTTCAGTATATGTGCTGCCGAAGCGAGCACAAGCTAAGCGTTTAATAAGGGAAGACAGTAACAAAATACTATTGGGAGAAGTTGTTGTATACTGGTATGTTCAAAATGATTTGGAAGTAGCGTGACAGACCTAGTATAAGAAAGACTGCTACTGAGCTTGGTCTTAAAATACAAAGTTTACTAGATGCTGGAGTTGGAGAAAGATAATAAGGGTCAACCTTTTACCTTCAAAATCTGGAAGGATTTAAACATTCAGAATTGAGAAGGTGGGAATAAGGGGCCTGCATGACAAAAATTGGAAAACTAGATGAAAACATGAAGCAAAGGAGTTCTTACTGGACTATGGATGGGTACAAAGAATTAGAAAATTAGCTTCTGTTTGCTGGGGTCTAAATATGGGGAAGAACTATAGAGATTTTCAAAGTGAGACAGAATGAAGTTAGAACTTTAAGGTTAGTTCTGTATATATATAAGGTTAGTTCTGTATAGGATTTCTTGGGTTAGGATCCATCAGAATCAAAGAGGGCAGTCAGGACAGCTAGGTAAGAGGTAAATTGGAGATCATACCGAAAATGACAGGGGGAATGGAAAAGCCAGGCTAAAAGAAAGATGTGATAAGTATTTGATTCTAAAATCCCAGCCTTCTGGGTAGCTAGGGTTACAGGCATGAACCACCAGTGCCAGGCAAATCTTTGACACCCTGACAGACACAATATTTTATAGTCTATATTCATTTGTGTAGTCTATATTCTATAGCTGGAGCTGCTCTAAAAAGACTTACTCCAAGGCCTGAAAAGTCTCTAAAAGATTTTCATCGCTATGCAGAAAATATAGTTTTTTCCCCTTTAAACCCAGTGTTTAAGCAAGATTAATGGAGACCTCTCAGATTCCAAGAAACCCTATATTTACTTCAAGTACCCACTTAAAACCCAGCCCTGTGGGAGTTTCTCAATTTGCAAAAGTTGTTTTTGGCTGATAGTTTTAATCTCCAGTAAAGTGTTTCAGAAATAGGCAAAAAAATCTGCTTTCCTCTGTTCTTTTCTTCAAGTAAGTAAAATATTCCTAACTCAATAAAGTGTTGATTTAATAGTCATGGAAAGGTAAAAGTCTCTTTCTGAAATATTGGCCTGAAATCTCATCTTTGAAAGCTAATTGTCCCTTGTGCTGTATTCAATAGCCATGAGAAAAAGTTACCTTTAAATCAAATATGAATTGTGATCACTAACTGTAGTTGCCTTTTTTGTTGTTTGTGCGTTTGTGCCAGTACTGCGGATTGAACTTAGGGCCTGGAGGCTTTTCCTTAGTTTTGTTTTTGTTTTTTTGTCAGTCATGGGGCTTGAATTCTGGACCTGGGTGCTGTCCCTGAGCTCTTCAGCTCAAGTTGAGTGCTCTACCACCTTTTTTTTTTGGGGGGGGTCCGGTCGTAGGGCCTGAACTCTGGGCCTGGGTGCTGTCCCTCAGCTCTTCAGCTCAAGGCTAGTGCTCTACCACTTGAGCCACAGCGCCACTTCCGGCTTTTTTTTCTTTTTGTTATGTGGTGCTGAGGAATCGAACCCAGGGCCTCATGCATGCAAGGCAAGCGCTCTACCACTGAGCCACCTTCCCAGCTCCGAGTGCTTAACCACTTAAGCCACAATGCCACTTCTGGTTTTCTAATGGTTTATTGGAGATAAGTCTCATGGACTTTCCTGCCCTGGCTGGCTTTGAACTGGGATTCTCAGATCTCAGCCTTCTGAGTAGCTAGGATTATAGGCATGAGCCATGAGCTTTTCCTTAGTTTTTTTTGGCTCAAAAGTCTCCTGGACTTCCCTGCTTAGGCTAGCTTTGAACCGTGATTCTCAGATCTCAACCTTCTGAGTAGCTAGGATTAGAGCCCTGAGCCACCTATGCCTGGTTTGGGGCATCTATTTTGACTTGAATTGAGAATGCCCCCTTTTGACCTTGTTTTTATGAACAGCAGTCTAGAGAAATCTTTTTTTTTTGGGTCCAGTTGTGGGGCCTGAACTCTGGGCCTGGGAGCTGCCCCTCAGCTCTTCAGCTCAAGGCTAGCACTCTACCATTTGAACCACAGTGCCACTTCTGGTTTTGTTTCTGCTTATGTGGTGCTGAGGAATCGAACCCAGGGCCTCAGGCATGCAAGGCAAGCACTCTACCACTGAGCCACCTTCCCAGCCCCGAGAAATCTTCTCTCTCAGCCTTAGACCCATATATGAAATTTCTCTAGACTCAACTCTTGAAGATCTACAGAAACTTCATATTCAATATGTCCACTACTGAGTCCTGTTCTCACCAACCTGATATTCTCTATCCTGATCGTCTCTATGCTAATGAATGGTTCTACCACCCACCATCAACTCAAGCTACAAGCCAGCACCATCATATTTTCCCTTCTCCCTAACATGCTATACACTCCCTCTGCCTCAGCATCTGATCCTCTTCTGACTCATAAATCTGACAACTACCCCAGCCTCCTCCCTCATCTCCCCAAGTTGCTTCTAACAGGTGCTGAAAAGCTGTTTCTGAAAACAAAAGCAGACTCCTTCCCTGAGCCCGTAAAAGTACAAAAAAAGGCAGGCATCCCTATCCATTTGGTATGTCTTTTGGCTTTTTTTTTTTTAGTTGTTTTGCAATCACTTCAGATTTTGAGTACAAGATTGATCAGTAACATCTTTATGACAAGGGACCAAAATGTTCCCTAAGAACAATGGAGCCTCCTCAGAACAGACTAAGACCACTTGTTTGCTTATCCTGACCAGGGATGACAGCACTAACAACTGTAGCAACCTCCTCAAAACAAGGAGTGATAGAATGATCAACCAGACCATGTGAACTGGCAGAACCAGGATTCAAAAACAGGCCTCTGTGCCACGTTACTGTCACCTGATTTGCTGTTCCACCTATAGACCTCAAAATGTACTTATTAAACAACTTGGAGAAGTAGGAAAGGAAAAAAAGGGGGGGGGAGAGAAGTGAGCGTGGGTTCTCAGCTGTGCATACTCTTAGTTGTTTCCTCTTCTTAGTTTGAAGTTTTATTTCCTCTTAAAATTGGTCAATGACTTTGGCTTCTGTAGGGAAAGATAGTTCCTCGTAAGCCTTTAAGAAGGGCCACAGGGGCTGGGAAGGTGGCTCAGTGGTAGAGTGCTTGCCTTGCATGCATGAGGCCCTGGGTTCAATTCCTCAGCACTACCTAAGCAGAAAAAGCCGGAAAAGGCTCTGTGGCTCAAATGGCAGAGCGCTAGCCTTGAGGTGAAGAGCTGAGGGACAGTGCCCAGGCCCAGACCTCATGACAGGCAAAAAAAAAGGGGGGGGGCGGTCAAAGGGAGGGGCAGCAGAAGAATGGAGAGAAAGGGTAAGCAAAAACAATTGTGTTCAATGTACATATGTGAATATGGAACCACATAACTTGAAGGTACCAGTGCAAAAGATGACACTGACCAAGATGCATAATATTTATAAACTGATTTGTTGAACTGAAACCCCTTTGTGCAATGACTTAAAGGCAAAAAAAATAAAAAGAGGAAGAAGCACTGATCATACAGGATTGCTTTTAGGTGCCAGGATATTAAAAGTCCCTGAGACTCACCAGCAATTAAGCACCAAGAAAAAAAAAATGCGGTGGCTCAAGTGGTAGAGCAATTAGCCTTGCACAGAAAACCTCAGGGACAGTGCGCGAGCCCTGAGTTCAAGCCTCAGGCCCAACATACACACACACACACACTGAATGATGACAAGTTGTTTGTAACCCAAGCCCTGAGTTCAAGCCTCAGGCCCATCACACACACACACACACACACACAATGAATGATGTGAAGTTGTTTGTAACCCAAGCCCTGAGTTCAAGCCTCAGGCCCATCACACACACACACACACACAGAATGAATGATGCGAAGTTGTTTGTAACCTTCCAAAGCCCGCTTATAATGTTGTAACCCTGTCTAAGATGAATCGACGACAGGGAATCTCTGAAATCCCATAGGTGGCACACACCTGTAATCCCTACACCCAAGAAGCCCAAGCAGGAGGATAAGTTTGAGGCCAGCCCGGGTTACACAGGCTGGGGGGTGGGGGGGAAGGGGGAAGCATTTTCCAGAACGATTACTGCGAGTGTGCAGGCAACTCACGGCTGGCTTTCTGGTGGTGAACTGGAGACCAGAGTCTCCTGGGCTCTCCTGCCCGGGCTGGCCTCGAACCCCGATCCTCAGAACTCAGCCTCCAGAGTAAGCTGCGGGGACGGCAGGCGTGAGCCACCGGCGCCCCTCGCTAGGCTTTTACGTGCTCTTTTTAATTTCAATCTGAGGACAACCACACGTCAAGCATGGAAAGAAAACCGACACTGGCCAAGACGCGCAGTGGCAACGGGAAAGGCCCAGCCCAGTTCTGGAAAATGCAGAACCTAAGGGGTGACGGGAGGAGGAAGGGACCGGCGGACAACCTCGCCTCCCAGCCCACCCGGATCACCGCCCCGGACTCGCCGGGCTCCACCGCCACCGCCACCGCCGCCGCCGCCTCCTCGGCCTCCCGGAAGCTGCGCGAGGGGGCGTGGCCACGGGGGGGACGCACGCGAGAGCCCCGCCCCGTCCCGTCCGGCGTGACGTCTCCAGACGTGACACGGCGCGCGCGGCCGCGCAGTGCACGTCGGGAAGAGGGGATGAGCTGGGCTGGCTTCCGTCGCGTTCGCGAAGGCTCAACCTTCTCCCCCTCCAGCCCAGGTTGTCGGGAGATGGGCCTCGGGCGGAGAAGCCGGCGTCCGTGAAGCGCGTCCGGCGCCACGGTGAGTGAGAATCCGGCCTCGGAGCCGGGCCCGGCGGCGGCGGCGGCGGCACCCGGGGACCGGCCCTGTCCGCGCCGAGGGGAGGGACCCGTCCCCTCCTCCTCCGCCCCCTAGACCTGGACGCGGGGCCCGGGCCCGGCGCTTCCCCGCGGCCTCGAAAGGCCGGTGCGGTCTGCCGACCTTGGATGGTGTGAGTGGCCTTGACCACCATCCCTCCTTTTTTGTGTGTTTTGTTTTAACCTTTGGGACACTCAGACCCGACTTTGACCTCCTCCTCCTCCTCCCTCTTGCTTCTGTTTCCGGCTATCCTGTCCCATCCACGGGTCCCCCAAGGCCTTTTAGAACCCCCTCGGAGTGGTTCCACTTCCTCCTCTGAACCCCTCCCCCCGTCCCGCCTCCGCCCCCCCCCCTCAGGAAGCTTCTAGTGAAGTACAAGTTTGAGTTTAATAAATGGATGAGTTACAACTTAACTAGAAGTTTTGCTTTCCTTAAAATAACAACTCGCCTTCCGTCCTGGAATTTATGTATGGCACAGACAAGTTCCATTTCACCTGCTCTGTAACCATCAGGACCTTTAATTTCAGGAATGTGCGTTCGTGCCTCTGCCTCTTGGGTTTATTTCTTGCCTCTGGTTTATCCTGTGACCTTGAACAAGTCAGTCACGACACATTCACCTGACTCACAAAGGTGGTGTAGAGCCCAAGGAATTTAGTATTTGTTAAGAGCTTCTAAGGGTTTCCGGTCAAAAAGGTATGCCTACCTAAAAGGTGTGTGTTACTCATTTTGGCTGCATTAAAATACCATTTGAAGCCAGGCACCAGTGGCTCACCGCTGTAATTCTAGCTGCTGAGATCTGAGGGTAGCGGTTCAAAGCTAGCCGAGGCAGGAAAGTCTATGGCACTCTTTATCTCCAATTACCACCAAAAGAAAAAAAAAAAAAAACTAGAAGTGGAGCTGTGGCTCAAGTGGTAGAGCATTAGCTTTGAGCAAAAAAACTCAGGGACAGTGTCCAAGACCTGACTTCAAGCCCCACAACCAGCACACACACAAAAAGCCAAGTGTTATTAAGTATGTGGTCTTGCTCTGCGGCTTTGCTTTGTAAGCGGATTTTGCATTTCAACCCATTCTGTTTTTTCAGATTGTTGAATGTCATTTATGTTGATTTTTAAATAGTTGTTGCAACTCTACATTAAGTAAGGTGATGTGGGTTGTACTGATGCTTTTTTTTTTTTTTTTTCGTGGGGCTTGAACTCTGGGCCTGGGCCCTGTCCCTCAGTTCCTCAGCTCAAGGTGAGTGCTCTTCCACTGGAGCCACAGAGCCACTTCCAGTTTTCTGGTGGTTTATTGGAGACAAAGAGTCTCTTGGACTTGCTGCCGGGTGAACCATGATCCTTAGATCTCAGTCTCATGAGTAGCTAGAATTACAGGCGTGAGCCACCAGTGCCGGGCTCTTTCTTTAATTAGATCTAATTATTATATCTAATAAATAAGGCATAATATTGCAATAGTACCAGGAGCCAGTGGCTCACGCCTGTAATCCTAGCTACTCAGGAGGCTGAGATCTAAGGATCATGGTTCAAAGCCAGCCATGGCAGAAAAGTCCCTATAAGACTCTTATCTCCAATTAACCACCAAAAAGCCAGAAGTAGAGCTATGGCTCAAGTGGTAGAGTGCTAGCAAACCTTGAGCAAGGAGAAAAAAAAAAAAAGCTCAGGGACAGCACCCAGGTTGGTAAAATAATTTTATTTTGCTTCAGAAAGGAGGGATCAAGCTGGGGGTACAGCTCAATGATACAGATAGAGCCTACTGGGTTACAAGGTCCTGGGTGCCTCCCTTCCCCAACACAATGGAAGTCTATTAGGTGACGTAGGGAGAGCACTTTTGCTCTAATATAGAATAGAGAACTATGGAAGTTAGGTTCTGCCAATTTTTAGGCCTAAGTTTGAAGAGGATAGTAGTTTCTATTCTCTCTTTCAACATGTATACTTGGGCCTCAGCCTTACAAAGAAAGAAGCACTCCAGTTGTCTTCCTAGTAAAACTTGCAGCCATTATCAACTGCCTTACATGTAGGGTAGACACCTGGGAGTCCAGCCCAGCTGAGCTTCAGATAACTCCAACCCCAGCTACTTATCTCAGTACAGATGCATGAAACCCTCCGTGAGCTCCGTCTTGCTAACTCTAGACAGCGCAGAGAAAATATAGAGGTATAAAAATAATTTTAAGCCACTGTTTTTTTTGTTTCGTTTTGTTTATTTTGGTCGGTCGTGGGGCTTGAACTCTGGGCCTGGGCGCTGTCCCTCAGCTCTTCAGCTCAAGGCAAGCGCTCTACCACTTGAGCCACAGTGCCACTTCTGGTTTTCTAGTGGTTTATTGGAGATAAGAGTCTCAAGATCTTTCCTGCCCAGGCTGGCTTTGAACCGAGATCCTCAGATCTCAGCCTCCTGAGTAGCTAGGATTACAGGCGTGAGCTACCGGCACCCGGCTAAGCCACTGTTTTTGAGTGAGTGATGTATTCTGCAGCAACAGGTAACTGGAAACAGTAACTTTTTTTCTTTTTCTTTCTTTTTTTTTTGGTGGTTGTGTGGCTTGAACTCTAGGCCTAGGTGCTGTATTTCAGCTCAAGGCTAGCACTCTACCACTTGAGCCACAGAACCACTTCCGGCTTTTTTTTTCCTGTTTCTATGGTGCTGAGGAATTGAACCCATGGCCTCATGCATGCAAGGCAAGCACTCTACCACTGAGCCACCTTCCTAGCCCTAAAATTTCTGTTAACATTTTTTTTCTCAAAAAGAGTCATGCTTTATTGCCTGGGTTGGTGCACTGCTCTTACTACTTAGTTTTAAAGATGTGCCAATGTCACAAGAAAAGGAAGAAAACATTTGGAGGTATCATATAAAGATATTGCTGTGTGTGTGTGTATGTCCATGTCCATTCTGGGTCTTGAATACAGAACATGGATGTAGTCTCTGAGCTTTTTTTTTTTTTCTTTTTGGGTCTGGTCGTGGGGCCTGAACTATGGGCCTGGGTGCTGTCGCTCAGCTCTTCAGCTCAAGGCTAGCGCTCTACTACTTGAGCCACAGAACCACTTCCAGCTTTTTTCTTTTTGCTTATGTGGTGCTGAGGAATCGAACCCAGGGCCTCATGCATGCAAGGCAAGTGCTCTACCACTGAGCCACCTTCCCAGCCCCTTCCCTGAGCTTTTTTGCTCAAGGATAACACTCTGCCTCTTGAGCAACAGCTTCACTTCGGCATTTTTGGTCGTTAATTGGACTGGAGATGAGACTTACGTACTTTGCTGCCCAGGCTGGCTTCAAACTGAGATCCTCAGATCTCAGCCACCTGAGTAGCTAGAATTACAGACATGAGCCACTGACAGCCAGCTCAAACTTTTTTGTGTCAGTCCTGGGGTCTGAACTAAGTGCCTAGTGGGTCCCTGAGCTTTTTGCTCATGGTTTTACCATACCACTTGAACCACAGCTCCACTTCCACTTTTTTGGGAAGTGTTTATTGGAGTTGAAGCTTGTGGATTTTCCTGCCAAAATGGCTTTGAACTCTTTCAGTTGCACACTTTAAAAAATAGTTTAAAGCCGGGTGTTGGTGGCTTATGCCTGTAATCCTAGCTACTCAGGAGGCTGAGATCTAAGGATCGGGATTCAAAAGCCAGCCTGGGCAGGAAAAACCTTGAGACTCTTATCTCCAATAAACCACCAGAAAACCAGAAGTTGTGCTGTAGCTCAAGTGGTAGAATGCTCGCCTTGAGCTGAAGAGCTGAGGGACAGCACTCAAGACCAGAGTTCAAGCCCCATGACCGACCAGAAACGAAAAAAAAGAAAGAAAAAGAAAAAATATTGCTGTGCTTCAGTGGCTCACACATAATCCTAGCTTCTCAAGGAGTCAGATCTGAGGATCACAGTTCAGATCCAGCTTCAGATCAATCTAAGAGACTCTTATCTCCAACTAACCAGCAAAAAGCTGAAACTGGAGGCATAGTTGAAGTGGTAGACCCCAGATTCAAACCCCAGTACATTCTCTCTCTCTCTCTCTCTTCCTCTCTCTCTCATACACACACACACACACACACACACACACTCTGATTTCTCATAATTTTGATAGCTTAGGGATTGACTTGTGATGCTGATCTCAGTGGGAAGCAAATTGTTATATTGTTTTTACCAAAGCATTTTCATAGCTCTTGTCTATGTTCATGACTCTGTATGGGCCATCCTCCAGGTCTCTCATTTACTTGGTAAGCAGCAGCATCTGGGCATCAATTGTATTATCACTTCCCTTTCATTTTAAGAGGTAGAAATTTCATTGGGAAGTGAGATTTTTTTTTAATATCCCATGTGCCTTTTAATACTTCATCTCCTGTACAACAAATATTCTAAATATTTACCAGTTTTTCTTCAAAAATAGGGATTGCTATTCCACTTCCTCTTTTTCCTAGCATTCTATTATCTTTGTAAAAGTTCTTGGGAAGTCGAGTGCTGGTGGCTCACACCTATAACCTAGCTCCTCAAGAAACAGATCAAATCCAGCCCAGACAGGAAAGTCTGTAAGACCTGAGCTGTGGCTCAAATGGTAAAACAGTATCCTTGAAGGTAAGAGTTCAGGGGTAGCACAAGGGGAAATAAAGTTCTCTGGAATTCTCTTTCCTTAGTTTCTGTGATACTGCACTCTCCTTATATTCCTTTACCATAACCATAACTCCTGTTTCCTTTTCTGAGTTCCCTGTATTTTAATAAATGTTAGGTAAGTTTTAAAATATGCTACATACCCCTCTATACATCACCTTGACAATAAAATTTTATACACACACACACACACATGCTACACAAGAACAAAGGAAATAGAACTATCACTGAGCAATGATGCTCATGCCTGTAATCCTAGTTACTCAGGAGGCTGAGAGCTGAGGATCACAGTTCAAAGCCAGCCCAGGCAGGAAAGTCTGTGAGACTCTTATCTCCAATAAACCAGCAGAAAACGGGAAGTGTTA